CTGCAGTCCTCAGGGAGACTGAAGAATAAAGACATAAAGCATGCTTCGAAAGAGAGGAAAGTGGAAGAAGAACCTGGAAGGTGTGCTGTAGAGAAAGGAGAAGTCCTTTGGGTCTGGGTTAGTCATGTGGAGGCCACCATGAGAAAGGGCAGCAGAGAGTCAGATTCTTGAAGCCAGATTTCATTAACAGCAAGAGTTGGAGAGGAAGAGGCAATTGATAGAGCCAAGTTTGTTAGAGACTGAGTGGGCATTCCAGAGGCCACATAAGAAAAAGGGACTGACTCGTGTAAGCAGGGGATTTGAAATAAGAGTGTGAGAGTTGTGGCTGCTACCACAGAAAGGGCGGTATCTGTTCTCGGGGTGAGTGTTAGATGGTGGAGTGTCAGGGTTTGACCCAATATCATCAGAAGTTAGTAGTAGCAGGACATTGAGAAATGTGAGAGCGGGATTTATAAGAGAGAGGATGCTTTATTAATTTGGAAGTTGTGATATTGGTCCAGAAAGAGCAAGAGATAAGTGAAATAATAGGGAGAGAGCAGAAGAAAAGGTGATATGTATAGGCTGTGAGGTGGGGAGGGAGGTGTACAGGAATGGGAATTTGAGGAGAGAGGACATTATTGCAAGAAGGAAGGTTAGTGAGAGCATGATGGAGGGTGAAAGCAAGCTAAGGGAGAGCTAGGTTAAGAAATGAAAATGCGCTTATAGACTGTTTGGAGTGGAGCACTGATGTTTGTACTTGTCTTTGTCGTGTGTTGGTTAAAGTGCCATAAATGTTTTTACGCAAAAATGGCCATGCCTGCCCTTTGTAAAGCTGCCCAAGGAGTTGTACTGAATTTATAACCTAGATGGGCTGGGGTGGTTTGGGTTATTAGTCAATTTGAGCTAATAAAAAAAAATATTGGTGAAAATGGAGGCTTTCTACCTTAAACCAAATTGCAAAACAGGATACAGACAAGAAAATAAAACTGGATCCTCAATCTTAGGCAAGGTACCAGGTCTAACTTAATATAAAATATAAACAGCATTTACAATAGATTGAGTATTGAAAGATGAAATCATAGCCCCATTACATGCTGCATCGATGGAGCTTTGGGTGGAATTTTACTTCTTGGCTACAATCTCTTTACTCCCACCCAACAGCCATAGTCAAATATATCAACTATTATTCTCCCCAGTTTTGGATTGAACGGGGTACCCAACAGGGATGCCCTTTCTCACCATTTCTATTAGTTTTTAGCCCTGGAACCTTTACCACTTCTCCTCAGAGAAAACCCAAACGTTCATTGCATCTCACCTTGCCACCATATTTATAAAGTTAGCTTACTTGCTGATGACCTGCTACTGACCCTGACCCAACCTGCAATTGCACTACCGAATATATTCTCTCATTCTCACACATCTCTAATCTCTGTGTCAGTGAAGATAAGTCTGTGGCCCTTAATGTCTCATTACCTCACATCACACTCACTATGCTCAAAGCTTCATTTAAATTCACTTGGGTTACCAAGCAGCTAAATTATTTAGATATTTGACTCATCCCCCTTTATTTGAATTTATAACAGGCCAACTAAATATCGATATTTAGTTCCCTCAGAAACCTAATCACTTCCTGGTCCACTTATCCCATCTTCTAGATGGGAAGGCTCAATGCTGTCAAAATGACCAGTCTTCCCACAATTTTGTATTTATTTTGCACCCTTCACCATCCCCATTCCCTCTTTCACTATTAGATCCTTTCAAACCCATATTATGTCCTTTATTTCGCACTCCCACTGGCCTCGTTGTCCTCAGCGCAACATGTACATCCATCGACATCTGGGAGTTTTAGGCGTCCCAAACCTAGTAAAATATTATCACGCAGCTCAGATCACTCCTCTCGGAGAACAATTTAAATCTCCAGCATCTGAGCTCTTTTGATATATGCAGATTAAGCACTGGATAAATAGTCTAATTCGTGATAGAGACCTCTCCACACCCGCTTACTATTTTTGAACATACCTGCCACCCGAGCACCCCACTGGCTTATAAACTTCACTCCCTAGTATACTCCCAACTTAATCGATTGCCTGAACCAACAGCCCAGGTCTATGTGACTCGGTGGGAGGAAGATTTAAAAGCTCACAAGTCTACCCTGGACTGGCAATCCATTTGGTACTGCCACTGTTTTCTGCACTATTTGCACTGTTCATGTCACCACTCTGGCATCTGCTTATAAAGTGATGACCAGATGGTACATAGTCCCTACTAAATTTAACCCATGTTTTTCCTGGCCATTCAGGCTTATATTTTCGAGAGTGCCAGGTCGCTGGTGATGTCCTTCATATTTGTTAGACCGTTTTTTGATCCAGGGTCTTTTCAAGTCTGCATACACTACTTGGTACAACACTTACTAAAGACCCTCGGCTGGCTCTCCTGCACATTACAAATTCAAATTCAATTTGGTCAACTTTTTTCTACTAGCCCCTAAACTTTCAGTCACTAAAGTGTGGAAGAAGAAATGTACCCTTTTTTTCAGAAATATTAATCTCGCCTAGATGGCATTTTTATTAACGAACAACTGGCTAGTATTCTTACTAATACTCATGCCAAATTTCTTGAAAGTTGGAGCCCATGGTTCCCATACTGACACCCAACGATTCTTTTTGGCAAGTCTGGCAACCACATAGGAGGCCTCCCAGTGGGTTATACACTTCCTGTGTCACACCCCTTCATTCCTTCCCCCCTAGTTTCCTTTTTTTGTCCTTTCTCTCTCCTCTGCCCTCTCCCTGCTCCCTCCCCTTCCCCTTTTCTTCTCCCTCTCTTCTTTCCATCTTTTTTTCTTAATGACACCTAGTTCATAGACAATGAACTGATGCCATGCCAAGTACTTAGGTCGATCAAGAGTATCAACTTTACAGTCACCATCTCTTTCACGGTTTTGCTATATTGACCAATCATTAACAATGCTATCCTGATGTTTGTACCACTTTTTGATATGATCGATGATGATGATTGATATTTTTGTTGATGTGCTGGTTGCTTAACTCTTGGGCATCAACCTGTACAATATATTTTACCTCTCTTCATAACAAAAAATAAAACATATTGAAATGAAAGATGAAGTCATAGTCCATCTCTGAGCTATGATGGGTATATATCATTGTGAAATGTTGCAATCTAAATACATTTTGAAAACATTTATAAATGTTTTCACACAGCTTGTACTCAGGATTCACAAATTTTCCAAACTGAATCCAATTTGAGTTGTATGAATCTTGTGTGAATACTTTTATAAATAGACTTCACAAACCACTACACTCACTGGCCTCTTTATTAGGTATACCTGTTCAATTGCTTCATAACACAAATTGCTAATCAGCCAATTACATGTCAGCAACTCAATGCATTTAGGCATCTAGACGTGAAGATGACTTTGTGAAGTTCAAACGAGCATCAGAATGTGGAAGAAAGGGGATTTAAGTGACTTTGAACATGGCATGGTTGTTAGTGCTAGATGGGCTGGTCTGAGTATTTAAAAAACTGCTAATCTACTGGTTTTTTTACGCACAACCATCACAACCAGAAAATGGTCTGAAAAAGATCAAATATCCAGTGAGCGACAGTTGGGTAGACGAAAATGCCTTGTTGATGTCAGAGGTCAGAGGAGAATGGGTAGACTGGTTAACCATGATAGAAAGGCAACAGTAACTCAATTAACCACTCGTTACAACCAAGGTATGCAGAATACCATCTCTGAACTCACAACACATCTAACCTTGAAGCAGATGGGCTACAGCAGCAGAAGGACCTCACTGGGTGCCGCTTCTGTCAGCTAAGAACAGAAAACGGAGGCTACAATTTGCACAAGCTCACCAAAATTGGACAATAGAAGATTGGATAAATGCCTGGTCTGATGAGTCTTGATTTCAGCTTTGACATTCAGATGGTAGGGTCAGAATTTGGCATAAACAACAATAACGCTTGGATCCATCCTGCCTTGTATCAACAGTTCAGGCTGGTGGTGTAATGGTGTGGGGGAAATTTTCCTGGCACACTTTGGGCTCCTTAGTACCAGTTGAGCATTGTTTAAACGTCATGACCTAGTATTGTTGCTGACCATGTCCATCCCTTTATGACTACAGTGTACCAATCTTCTGATGGCTACTTCCAGCAGGATCATGTCACAAAGCTCAAATCATCTCGAACAGGTTTCTCTGAACATGACAGTGAGTTCACTGTACTCCAATGGCCTCCACAGTCACCAGATCTCAATCCAATAGAGCACCTTTGGGATGTGGTGAAACGGGAGATTTGCATCATGGATGTGCAGCCGACAGATCTGCAGCAACTGCGTGATGCTATAATGTCAATTTGGACCAAAATGTCTGAGGAATGTTTCCAACACTGTTGAATCCTTTGCCAGAAAGAATTAAGGCAGTTCTGAAGGCAAAAGGGGGTCCAACCTGGTACTAGCAAGGTGTACCTAATAAAGTGGTCGGTTAGTGTTTGTATCAATGATCAGATGCTCTATTAAATGTGTACATTAAGAAGACAGTTGCCATAAAATACAGAAAGGTCTAACTGTAACCCTTAGCCTGGTCTGTGTCCATGTAGTAGCTACCAATCTTTTTGTCCTCATAGGCTTCTTCAAAGTTTTTGCAACCCTTTGCACCCATACTCTGATTACATTTAAGAATCCTAGCAGGTGTTCCCATGATTCTTTCATCTAATTGAAGAGCGGGTGCATTTGTAAGTGTGAATACACCCTAAATGAAAACATTTTTGGAGATGAAAAGAAGAGATAAGGAAATTTCTTTCACTTTCCTTTGTAACAGCCAATAAAATGGACCACTGCTGCTTTCAGCTTATGGGTATATCATGCAAATGAAAAGTCATATGAGCTGATCTCCACTTACAAACAATCATTCTATTGTGCTTATAATTTAAGGTTACACATTAATCTCATAATAATATTGATTGTCTTGCTTTTAAACAGGAGAAAAACCATTTAAATGTGATGAATGCAATTTTGCGTCTGCAACGCAATCCCACCTAACACGACACAAGCGAGTCCACACTGGAGAAAAGCCTTACATGTGTCCTTGGTGTGATTACAGGTAACTGCATTTATTAATACCAACTTCAGGAGAATTAGTGATTGTAGTGTTTGCCTATGTTGCTCATAATAGTATTACTTTTACGCAATTTATAACCAGATATAACTAACTAGTACTACTGAATAGTTGGGGTGTTGATGGTTTTAAATGTTACTTGTTAAAGTCTTGTTGCACCTAAAAGTCATCTGAGTTATTTAATAAAATATTCTAAATAAAGCTCTTTCCTATATGCTCTTTATTTAGAAAACTGTAGCAACAATACTATGTTTGACCATGAAGGTGGCTGACAACTGAATTTTAATTGCCCATCACTTATCTGCAAGGAAGCAGAGGACATGTATTGTAACTCTCTGCACCTGTATTTATACTGAATACAGTGTATATGATTACATTAAAAGCATCAGTATTCGATATTCTCAAAACTTCCTGTAGGATATTTGTAGAATAGACTTTGACATTTACAGTATTGACTCCTTACTCTTTCTACAGATATAAGAACATATTAGTTGTCGTCTTTTTTTTTTCAATGTGCATTTAATTGTGTTAAAAAGGGAATCCACAGTTCAGTAACATAGGTGTTGTCAGGCATCTTAGAATGCACAAGAGGACCCTGAAAATACCAAGATTCTCTGGATATTGGGAGTCCAAGGAACCATCACAATTTGCAAACATTGTACAGAATAAATAATATGGAGGGTGCAAAAGAAGAAGTAAATTAGGAGGGAAAGGAAAAGAAAAAAAGGTTGGGGCAGGGAGGTTGAGGGGTGGTGGGGGGGAGGGAAGGAAAGGGTATGGAGTTGTGTGTTGAATGACTACACATGTCAGCATAGCAAGCAAGATACTGATAGCTGTTCACTAGGATGACCCGTCTCAAGAAAAGACTTCCCCTCCTCTGAGAAAAAATAAACAGGTTCCATAAGGTCCGTGTCTTGTATATACTTCATATTTGTTTTGTTTCATCAGTATAAAATCTTCCATTAAATTTAGCACCTCTACCTTGTGGAGCCAGAGTCTGATAGACTGAGTTTGTGGGTCTCTTTTATTTAAATTTAAATTTGGCATTGTTCCTGATCATGAAATATAAAGCCTAAACTCTCACTGGCCCTGGGAAATTGGTTACTCATCTAAACTTTGGTCCAATGTCCATTTGTTTCAGTTGTTCTTTATAGTGCTGAGTAATTGTGTTGAATTTACATTATGCCATTACCATAGAATGGACTTGTTACAATGGGTGTGATTAGGGCAAATTTTTTTAAGTCCGCAAACGTGCAACTATAACGAAAAAACCCGTAAGTGTTCACAAAAAAAAGTGCAAGTGCAAAACACCACACGAAAAAGTGCACTTAGGGGTGTGCTGTGTCCTACCCCTAAAGGGGCTTGGACCGCTTACCCTGATCCCCCGGGGCACGAAGCTCCTGACGGGGACAAGGTTCCCAATTGGTCCTCCTGGCCAAAAGGCCTGGTGGACCACCGTTCCCTATGCCCAGCCAAAGCCGGACATCCAGTACTAGGCAAGGAGGCTCTCCCGAAGAAGAGCCTCCTAGGGATCAGGGGAGGAAGGAACCGTATGGCCACACATCCTCCCCCTAGACTTCAGGGTAGGCCCGAGGACCCACACCCTCCATCCGTGAAAAACACACACATAAGGCAAAGAAAAAAGTGACAAACGTGGGAGTGCATAATAAATAAATAAAGTAAAGTAAATAAAATAAAAAAAATGGTACCGTGCCAAAATGTGCACAGACCAGGCCCTGAGGCCGTAGCAAAAATTGCCCTGGACTTAGCCAAAAGACCTGGTCCTTAGGGCGCTGTGCAAAAAGAGGTGAAAAACAGTGGCCATGTGTCATCTTCACACCGTGGGGTCCCACACCCAAGTGTTACTAGTGACACCCCTGAGAGCGTCTTCCCCAGGGGGCACTGAGTTTGCGGACTTTTTGCGTCCCCAGCCCCTGGCCAGACCAAGGTAGATCCGTCCAAATCAGGAGGTACTGGGTCTTTCCAGTCTTCCCAGAGGAATTACTCCCGGGGCCCCAGCTTAACTCGTGGCGCTCCCCGGTTTCTGTCCCTCCGGTACTAGCCTTCCGGACCTCCATCATTCCAGTGAGGGTACTATACAACAACCATCCCCGCAAAGCTAGAATGGTCGGGAGCACCCCCACTGGACACTGATAAGAACAGATACTACACTTGATCTTAGCCAAAAGGCCGAGAAGCGATTAGGGGCAAATTTGACACTTGCGATATGCATAATATAAATACTCTTCCTCACTGCAGAAAGCCTTGCTATCCCAGTGATGTCAAGATTTTAGGAAGGTCTACCTTATAGCGGGACAGGTGGGCCAGCAGATACCTTTCTGAAGCTGCACACTAGAAATCCTGTGTTAAAAGCAAGGCAAGATTTTTGTTCTTTGTAATGAGGGGGCCTTAGTAAACAATCAACCAGTTGGTATCCATTAAGGCAGGACTTTATAATACAAAATTGTTGGTTGATCTAAAGGAGATTGTACAATCAAATTGTAAAGTGTATGGCCATCTTAGGTTTGGCTAGAAGTGTTTGGCCTGCTTACATCTTTTACTTTCTTTGTCTGTGACAGTGGGTGGTTGGGATATTGGACATTTATTGTGACCCACCTTGACATTTTCTGACTCCATGGAGTTCAACTGCACACTAGAAAAGGATCTACCCAGTAACAAATCAATGATGGCTTCAGGAACTTGTGCATGTTATTAAATCCTGGTATAGGTCGGGCTGGTCACTTTAAACCAAGCTTATTCCTAAAAAGGTACAGGTTTACATTTGCTAATTTAACCATTTTCTGACCAGTCATGTGCCTGGTACATGACTGGTCTTCAAGTGGTTGTACCGAGATGATGCCTGCAGCTTCAGGCATCTGGCCAGTATCTTTTTTTTTTTTTAGAGCTGGCAGTCAGCTGTCTTGTAATAGCGGTCGGAGCAGCTAGCTAGACGCATGATCACTACTACAAGCAGCGGGAGGGAACGTCCCGCCTCCCATCACCTTCTGCTGCTTGTTCGAGCTCTCCTGTCCCATCGAGAGCCCCGAACAACGGGGCCGATGCATGCACTGCCTGGCCAGACAGCTGAACAAAGCTAGGTTCGGATTTGATTGGCTCTCCACTAGGGTAACCCGGTGGCGATGACCTGTTTAACAACGTCAACAACGGCATTTTTAAAAACTTTTCAAAACACAGATCTTGGTGTTTTGAATGCTTTTAAGTGCAGAGGAGGGATTTGGGGTCTTATAGACCTGCAAAGAGTACCCGTCAAGTGCCTCTTGCTGTCACAAGGATGTTTACATTCTTTATGACAGCAATAAAAGTGATAAAAAGAAAAAAAGAAAGCAACAGTGTAAAAATAAATAAATAAAATAAAAACAATTAATACTTAAAAAAAGAAAAAAAGTGCACCCGTCCCCCCAGGCTCACGCACAAAGGTGAATGTACACGTCAGTCCAGCACGCACGCAAACAAACATCGATCGTCCCACACATGTGAGGTATCACAGCGATCGTCAAATCATGGGCAGTAGTTCTGGGACCAGACCTGCTCTGTAAATCTAAAGTGGTAACCTGTAAAGGCTTTTAAAGCAATGCCTATAGAAAGTAAAATTTATGTCGTTTGTCAGGTATCTATTTACTCGGTGTAACATCATCTTTTATACAAAGTTTACAAAAAATTGGGTTATGTATTGTGTTTTTTTGTTGTTTTTTTTTTTTTTTGCATTTGGAAAACTTCTGTGGAAATACGGTGTGACATAAATTACAAAACACACCAATTTATTGTCTAGGGCCTCTGCTTTTAAAAAAAAAATATACATTGTTTGAGGGTTCTAAGTCATTTTGTAGCCAACAAAAACTGATTGTTTCATGTGAACAAAAAGTGCCAGAAAAAAGTCTGGTCTTTAGATTTTGACTATTTCTATAGAACAGATATTATTAAAATTGTAATAAATGCATGCTTTTCTTTTAACTTTGCTTTTCTCAGTTTATAGAACAATGAATGCTAGTACAAATAGTAATATTATGTCTAGTTTTCTTTTTCTATTTTTTTCCAGTGGAAAGTAAATACTTGGTTAACAAACCACATCTTGTTGGGCTTTTATATTAGCCATGCTTCAGGTTTGTGTGTTCATGTTGGCATATAAAAAAAACCTTATTCAATTTGCATATAAATATTTATGACATTTCATCCATTCAGGATATGTGTATAAAGTATGTGGGCTTACTTTACAACTGCCTGTAGCCTTTTTCCTTACACTTGACTGCAGTCGTAAATATCCTGCACATTAAAAATCATGATCATTCGCCAAATCATTTATTACTGTTCAGAGAAGACCTAAGTGATATGATCACATCCTGATTGGCTGAATCACAAGCTCTAGAGAATCTGCACCTTTCAGCAAACCTAAATTAAGGTTATTATTTGAGTCTTGTGCCACAATTAAATTTAGGTGAGTTGTTTGCTTAAAGGGGAAGCATACAACATTATATAAAATACTGCATATGTACACAGGATAAATTATTCTCTTTTCCCAAACTGCTAAGGGTTCTGTATTCTATTGTATACATTTAAAAATAGAGCCAACACACTTAACATCATATGGGAAGATATTCACAGAATTTATTTATTGTAACTATTCAGCATTTTACAGTATTGATGAATAAATGTAACAAATATTTATAGCTACTTGTTTTTTGGACCTGGGTCATCCATGTTGGATCTAAAATTTTCTCCCCAAAATAAACGGAGATGAGATGCAGTGAACATCTGCAGTGAATAGATATAAATGCTCACATAATATGTGTATGCATATGCTGTATATACTGACAAAAAAGGAAACAAAGTGCTCTCTGAGAAAAAATAGAATAAGGAAGCTAATGAGGGCTGTTTTCTGGCACAAGAACAGATATGGGACAATTGAAGGAAGCTTTCATGTCCCTCAGGAGCCCTAAAATCACTTTAATTCCACTAGACTC